AAATAAATAAATAAATGAAAATAAAGACTTACTATAAGAATTATATGAATTGACTTCATTTTTAAAAGTTATAAATGGCCATATTAAAGTGATTTCTCTTTTTATTTCAGAAACCTCAAGTATTTGTTCTTAAGTGATCTTCCTGGAGTAAAAGAAAAGGAGAATCTTATCCAAGTCTTTAAGACAGCACTGCCTTCTCTAGAATTCAAAGTAAACTTGTAAAATAGTAAGTGTCTCATTTCATTATAAAGGATCATTTGAAATAGTTGATCCTGAATAGCAACAAATATTATGTAATCACCAGTTGAACTGTAAAGATATCACATGACAGTTTAGAAGTGGAGAATGAATGATACATAGAAAATACTCAGTGATGACTCTCTAAGATTACTTAGTTGTGAGAAATTATGTATAGTAAATCATTTTAAGAAAAATATAAAGTAGCATTTTAATTGTAATGTATTCTTCATTTAATATATATACTGTAGATCTCTCGGTGTAGATATTGATTTAGAGATCTTTAAAGTGATTTAACTATACAGCACAAATATTTTTTGTTGTATTGTAGTAATTTGCATCTTAACTTTAAAGTTACTGAAGCATGTTTCTGTAAATGCACAATTATGAAAAACAGAGAGCTCAGTTACAGATTCACTGCTGGAGTCAGTCCTGTAGAGTTGTGGGTGGTGTCGAGGCCAGCATGTGGGATTGCTTCCCAGGATTTGCATGCATTTCTCGTGCTCCTGTATTTCTGTGTTCTTTCTATGTATACTTTTTGTGTGTGTATACCCGTTCTCAGACTGAATGATTGCTGGTTAATTTGTCTTCTTTTTAAGCTTAGGCTAGTATTGATTAAAATTGAACATAGATACTTGGCTACATTCAAATAGTTTTGCTGGTGACATAGAGCAGAGCAAACAGTCATAAAGACTAGCAGGCCAGTCTTACCTTCCTCATCTGCTTCAAACAGGAAATGTGTCAGAAGATAATTCTGCTTTCCCTCAAACGTCTTCAATGCTACCTCCTATGAACTCCAGGGACATAAAAAATATAAACACAGGCTGGAGAGATGGCTTAGTGGCTAAGAGCATTGACTGTTCTCGCAGAAGACCCAGGCTCAATTCCTAGCATCCACATGGCGGCTAACAACAGTTCCTAACTCCAGTTCCAGGGGAATCCGATGCCCTCTTCTGACCACTGGCATTGTATGACACAAGTGCACCAACCTACATGCTGGCAATAAACTCATACACATCAAATAAAAATAATAAATAAAATATATAAAAAATATAAATGCAAGGATGAATTTATATCTAGAAAATAGAAATAATGTCATAAATAGATAAAAACAAGTCTTTGAACCTACTTGAAATAGCTCTGATTCTTTTGTTAGTTACATGCTGATTTGTTTGTGGATTTCTATAAGTTTGGTTTGAATATTTGATTGTTAAATATAAACCTAATTAGAAATGACTTTCTGTAAGGCAACTTTCAGGTAGAAAAGTGAATTTTAGTTGTATTTAGAGCTAAGCTTATAGAAAAACATCTAATTCATAGGAAAATGTAAATTACATAAAATATAAATGCTGTAATATTTATTAATATAATTACTGTTGTCACAAGTCAGAAAATAGTAAATAAAAAGTAAATAGACAAGGCTGTAGAACAGACTTAGGTGATATAGTGGTGATCCCCTTTGAAAGAAATGGATTATAGACATGGCTAAGTTGAGCATAGGCATAAATGTAATAGACCCTGTTAGAGGAAATGAACCCTTTTATCTCGGGTTTGTTTCATTACTATATGGTGATACAACTCATTTATCATGATTTACTCCAGGATGACTTCTCTATTTTAGTGGTTTTCTGTAAAAATTAGGCAGTTATAGACATCTGTCTCTGTCAAATACATTTTATTGGTTTAAGGGAAAAAAGAAAGGCAATTTTAACTATTCACAGAAGTTCTAGATCCTTCCTTCTCATTTAAATCATGTCTCTGTTTAAGAGGAATAATACTGGAGCTATCATTTAACCCATTGTCACATCTATGCAGGAAGCTATATAAATTAGAAAGCCTTAATTTTGGCTGGAGTAATCAAAATTATTGAGCAGATGACAGAATTTAGTGGACTACATAGCAGTAAGTGAATGGGTCTAAGTGTTGTCATGAAGAAAATTAACACAGGAAGAAAGGAGGGTACAAAGAAATATTTTGAAGATACAGTAAAAATACAGCTCTGAAGTCCATAAAGCTGTTGTTCACTAGTAGCCGCACATAACCAGAAATGATGCTAAGCTGTAAGAGACTAACATGGGGCATCAACATTGCCCTTGTGTCTAGTGGACAGGGAAGGAAAAGTTTTCTGATTAGGAGCAGTGAGCCAAATCAAAGATACTATATGTCATCATTTTAAGTCTTACTGTTCAAAAGTAGAAATCCTCAATAATGTCATTTTGTACGCTCTCATTAAATATACTATATTAGTTATTAGGATGGCATATATACATATGTGTGCATGTATATATGCATGTGTGTATATAGACATGTATATATACATGTAGTATATAGATAGTTCAGAGAGAACATCAGTTAACAAAAATATCTTTCATGACTCAAGTAAAAATTCACAAGCAGTTGTGTCTAGAACTTAGGTCATTGTGTGCAGTTCTGTGTATAGAACTGTTCTCTGGTCTGGAGCTGAACTGGAGAGAATGAAGTGATAATTATTTTCAGGCTGACAGGTTCATTTCTGTGAAGCCTATACATCTTGTTCTATCCCTTGCTGATGTATTCTTTCTGTAGATAAGGACAAAAGTATATGTAAGAGATATATAAACATATAACTGGTTATGTAAGCATAAAAGTATGAATTTTATGGTACATATGATTTTAAATAGTTTGAACAACTTAAAAATATTTTAAAATACAAAAATCAAGAGAGCAAGCAGGAAATGTAATAAACATTTTGATTTCAGGAATTAAAATTATCCTTCAACGTGGCTTTGAAACAATTGGGAAGGCAAGCAATAGGACTCAAGGCCACATAGGTCTAAAGAAATACATATGGGCATTTTATAATCCACTTTTCACATGTATCACACAGCACAACTGAAGCATAAATCTTTTTGATATCAGAGTTCTGGGCAATGGATGCAGTTTATATTCTGTCCATAAGCTTAGCTGCTTAGATAAACAAAGACACAAGTGAAACTCCAAACAAGTTTTTCCTTTCCATTCTGGACATCATTACCAAGCATGGAAGACTGGATCTGGAATTTCCCTTCATATCTTGCCAAGTAGCCTCCAGTTGCTTGCTTATGTTTTCTCTAGGGACGTTTTCAACACTGTAATCAAATGTGTAAATTTTATTTTCTTCAAATTATCCATCAATTCTTCACTACTCTAGCTCCTTAAATGTTTGGAAAATGGTAGTTAAATTTCTTGGTGCTACAGTGGTACTTCTTATTATCCAAAGCTGGAAGGATGCTGCTGCCAGTTAGCTGAGGTAGGTACTGCAACTGAAAACACAAAACACAAAGTTAGGTTCAAAACTGGGCCATGCATCACTTTTTAAATTATTTAGAATATATCACAAAAGACATAATTAACTTCTTCGGCACAAAAATACTTTTTTGTTTCTATAAAATACAGAATCTGAGAGAGGGAAAAATGCTTCAATTTGGTCTCTGCATTTCCTTGTAAAGGTTTGTTTTATATTTAAAAAGCAATCAAAGCCAAGTATGTTGGCACACACCTCTAAGTCCAGGACTCGGGAAGCCGAAGCATGGTCACAATCGAGCCAGCATGAGCTACATAGTGAGACCCTGCCTCAAAACAAAGCAAAGACAAAGACACAAAGGCAACCAAGGCCCTGTTGAGCCCCTGTCACCACAAACACACACACACACACACACACACACACACACACACACACACAGAATCCATATTAAAAAGCAAAAATTAAAGCTGGAGGTGTACCTCCGTGATAATTTGCTTGCATAGTATTTGTGAAGAAGCCTTAGGTTCCATTCCCAGCACCAGAAAAAAAAATTTAAGAGAATTTAGAAAATATGAAAAAGGAGTTCCTGCATTATTGGGGGAAAAACAGATTTACAGGATTTGAGAGCATCATTTAAGCCAATGTCCTAATAGAGAAAATTGATGTGCAGAACACTGAGGCATTTTGCCTACTTATTCCATCAGTTAAAAAGGAAAAAAAAGACCCCAAAAAACCCTATGTATTTTTTATTGTATCATACGGCCTTAGGTATCTGGAAAAAAAAAGATACTCTTTAGTACTTTTTTTTTTTTTTTTTGGTTTTTTTGAGACAGGGTCTCCCTGTAGCCCCAGCTGTGCTGGAACTCATTATGTAGACCTGGCTGGCCTTGAACTCAGAGAGATCCACCTGCCTCTGCCTCCCAAGTGCTGGGTCTACAGGCATGCGCCACCATACCTGGCTCTCTTTAGTACTTTTAAACCAAACAATTGAATCTTTTAGGACTTAAAAGCAATGCACCAGTGAGGTTCCCTTTTTCTTTCAAGTAGAAATATTTCCAGCAAATTTCTTTGCTCTTGAACACTAACAGTGAAATAGAGAACTCAGGGTTGGGGTAGTACAGAGGTGGGAGAGAGTATTTCTGGCCTATTTTGCTATCTGGGTTATATATGAAGGAGAATAAAAACATCCAATTTTGTAATGATGTTCTATCTCAGAGGCCTGGGATTGGAGTGGCATTTATTCCTAATAGACTCTTTGTCCCTTCCCTGCTCAAGCCTCACACACAGACTATCCAGTGTGCATTTGAGGCAGTGGAGGCTGCAAGCAGAAAGACTAAGGTGAGATGATTTGGATCCAGAAGTGACAGGAGCAGCCAGCCCAACTTACCTATCCTTCCAGATTATTACAGATTTTGCCACTTAATTTAAGACTATTACACCAATTATACTAGTCAAGATCCTTCACTGACTCATGGTGTGCAGTTGGATGCTATTCTGTGGTTAATGTGCTATCCTGCTGGTATTCCTGCAATCCCATGTTGCTGTATTTACCCTCACCAAACATGACAGAGAACCAGGATGGAAAGGGATCCCATTTTGGGAGAAACCTGGAATGTTAACACAGGTTAAATATGACAAAGGTCTGCCTGGGGTTAGTCTGATTGTATTTTCCAAAGTGCAAAGATGCATGTTCAGCTGAACTCTGCTGATGTATCTGGCTGAGACCTGCCTTAATGCATATCAGGAACCTTGGCTCCTTGGTAGCAGGAGGGAACAGCACTACAAAGAGACCTTAGGATTCAGGAGGGAGGGTCCTCAAGAGGCAGATGTCTGTGAGGCTCTGAATTATCAAATGACCTGTCTCCTAGTGATTGAGGATGCTGGGGCTCCAATTGTCACTCTCAAGCCTAGTTTCCAATTCAGTACTGGGTGGCAGGTATGAGATCATTTGAAACTGTAACCTTGGCTGTTTCTGTAAAGCAGTGCACCAGTTTTACCCCAGGCAGGTGCTTTCGGCTCTGTCTCAGGGTCTTCCTCGTTGGTTTGTTGTATTCCCCGGTCAAATCTCCTACTTCTCGAATGCTGTCAAAATATGAGTGCTGCAACAGCTGTTCACATGTCAGCCTCTCAGCAGGGTCCATTTTGAGGCAGCCCTAAGGGAACATTAGATACAAGTATATGAATCTATACTGATCAAGATAGCATTTCCATCTCTTTTTTTTACCATTTCTTTTTAAAATTTATTTTTATTTTATATGTAGGAGTGTTTTGCCTGAGTGTAAGTACACCTGTGTGTGCAGTGCCCACAGAGGCCAGAAGATGGCAACAGATCCCTGGAACTGGAGCTACAGATGGGCTTTAGCCACCATGTGGGTGCTCTGTCAGAGCAGCCAGTGCTCTAAACTGCTGAGCCATCTCTCCAGGCTCACATTTACTATTTCTTAATGTTAGGAACCTTTTAACTCTTATGGTTCTTCATAAAATATGTAAGCAAGTATAACAAATTACAGTCACCCTGCTGTGTTATAACACATTAGAACATACTCCTGTTGTCTCTGTGTTAGCATCACTTGTCCAGCATCTCTGTATTCTTTTCTTCCTACCCCTTCCTAGACTGTAGTGGCTACTACTGTACTCTCTACCTGTATGAAATCAACTTTTTTTTAGCTTCAGCATAAGTGAGAAATGGAGTATTTGTGAAACATAAATGTAAGAAACAACAGTTACGGTTTTGTGATTTTAGTTTCTTCCACAGTCACTCCTGAAGGGTTATCCACATAGTAAGTAGTTTCCAAAAGTTCTAACAACAACACAAAAATGTTTCACCTTGTTCTGTTCTGAAGCAATTGTGTACTGTTACATGTTTTACCATAGGGGAGTAGGATATGATTTGGGAGTTCACCTCAGTGGCTAACTGGGATAATCTATTTAGATATTTTGGTCTCTTTCAGGTACTTTGAAAACAGTAGTGCTTTTATTTTAAAATCATGTTTTTACCACGATACAAATAAAATTCATACAGTGTACATTAGTTTCTACCCACTCTAGTTCTTCCACTCCCCTTTCTAGTATTAACTACCCCTTTTGATAGATAGTTGTAGAAAGTCTGTGTACTACAAGCAAGTATGTATAAAATGAAAAACACAACATATTCCTTTATATTACATCATTCTAAACTATTTTCTTCCCCTTAAGTAAAACCATGAAGCTCAAAGTTGGATACATCTCACAGCTACATACTTCAAAGAATTGTCTCAGTTTTTTAATTAATTTGTTATTTGACAATGTGTGTGTATATAATAGCATCAGTAAATATTTTATGTGGGAAATTAACTATAATTTGCAAACTGGTACTGTACCTCATTTTATATAAGAGCTATATTCCTAAAAATGTATATGTAAACCAACTTTAAAATGAACAAAGGATTTGGCCATTTATACTATAAGATTCCTACAGTATAAATTTTTTTGAAGGACAGGATACTTTTGTAAAGCAAACACCCCCTTAAAATTCTTGGTTTCTGTAAATGTAGATTTCAAACACATTACTTTTTAAAAACAGATTTTTCACTATGATAGAATGTGACCCATTTTTAAAACTGAAAGTATATATGCTTTTCAAAAGAATTCTAAAGCAGCATTTCATCAGTTGACAGTTAATTCTCACAACCACCCCGTGTGCTTCCTGGTCTGTTGAAAGCCATGATTTTACCTTTAAGAAGCCTAGTGCAGGATATGAAATGTTTGGAAATTTTAACTCAAGTGTTTCCTGTTGAAAAGAAAAGGCACTTTTAATTTACAGCATACATTCACATTTAGATTACCTAAAATGAAATTTCTTTTGAGTCTGTGTATCTTCCTGGCATCTCCTCACCTCCTCCACCCTTTTCCACTCCACCTCCCACCAGTATTAAGCTTCTGAAGCCGGTGTCATCAGCCCTTCTCTCTTCACCTCCAAATTGTTTTTCCAAATCTATTTCCTAATCATTCTCTTCCCTTCCTGAAGAAGGTAGGAAATTATAAGTAAACACTAATGAAAGAAAACAACAGCAACACACTTGCCAAGCGATTTTTTTCCTCTCTACCTCATTTTATATGAAGTGCCTTTCCTGATAGCTTTTGGCATTTAAAATGGCATTATAAAAGGGCCACTAATTATTGCATTTATTGACATGAGCATAAAGGGAGCTTCAAGACACATTTTATCCCTATCCAGATGAACATATGCTTCTTGGATTTCTGGAATAAACACTCTTGTCTCTTTCCACAAGTGCCTGCTGTTTCCTGATCATCCCATCGTTTAAAGAGTCTCCTGAGCAGGCTTTCATTGTTCTCCCTCTGCCCGTACAAGGCTATTTTGCTGCAATCATATGCCAGAGTCAGTTAGGAATCACACTACGAATGAGAGGAATAAACAGGCAGAGCTATCTCACTACCAGGCATGGTGGTGCACACCTTTAATCCCAGTACTGGGGAGGCAGACCCAGGCAGATCTCTATGAGATTGAGTTCCAGGCAAGCTAGGCTACAGGAAGACCCTGTCAAAAAACAAAAACAAAACAAACAAACAAACAAAACTATCTTACTGAAAAGATGGAAGAACAGAACAAATGACCACAGTGCATTGTGTGTGTAACAATGGTGGGTGTGAGCTGTGGGCTTTAGCAACTGGCCAGGCTCATCTCATGAGTGGGGTTAAGGTTGTAGTCCAGAACTTCAGAGCAGTATTATTTTAGACAGGGAGCCAGTCTCAATTGGTTCTCAACTGCACATGTGCTAATCATTGATAAAAGAGACAAGTGCCTCAGTTCAATGGGAAGAAAAAAGTTTTTTTTTTTTTGACTTTTTGAGACAGGGTCTCCTTGTAGCCCCAGCTCTCCTGGAACTCACTATGTAATATAGACCAGGCTGGCCTCAAACTCACAAAGATCTGCCTGCCTCTATCTCCCAAGTGCTGGGATTAAAGGTGTGCGTCACCATGCCTGGCCAGAAAAAAAGATCCTGAAGTACATTTGTCTTAGTCCTTGAGAGTAGCCTTTGCCCCTACAACTTAACTAGTTCTTTGGGTATGTTGAATGTGTGCACTGCTTCAGACTGACCTGGCTAATGTCAACCCTGCCGTCTTAGCAACAGTGCTTGGGCTGAGGCCAGTTGGTTGTCTGTGATATGGATGTGCTGAGGCCCATCCTGCCTGCTGAACCAGTTTCCCAGCCCCTGCAGTCAGCAGGCCTACCAGGGCAGGGTTACTGACAGGGACAGAACCACAGATGTTCAACTAGCACAGCCCTGTGCTACTTTTCCTGTATTTCTGTCAACAGGAAATCTCTTGCAGGACAACTTCTGAGAAACTAAGGGAAGCTCTTCACATTTATGGAGCTGTGGCTTTTTCTGAAGCTTCATCAGTAGGCAATCAAACAGGAAATTGCTAAGGGATATTTGGTACAGAACTGGGAATGTCCAGGTCACAAGGCAGTCAGCTGGGTTGCCTCCCATATGCCAGGTGCTATTTTTGCCTCTCTGTCCCAGGATGACCCACTTTTCCTAATGCTGGTGCTTCAGGCTGTGGGGAAGCGGAAGCCCAGCAGTGGGACAGGCCAAAGAGGCAAAGGACAAGACAGAAAGCAGCTGCAAGTGTAACTTTCATGTGGAAACTGGGGTGTTTTTATTTGAAAGCACCTTTCTCAGGCAGTAGAAACTCTGGATCTCACAAGCAGTTACTATGCTCTGAAATTTTATTTTGTTATTTTTTCTTTGCAGTGCTAGATATCACTTGGGAAGTAGAGGCAGGAGGCTCAGGAGTTCAAGGCCAGCCTGGACTACATGAGACCCTATCTAAAAGAAAAAAGAAAAAAAGGAGAAAGATATCCTTGTAGCCATTTACTCAACAAAAAGTTTACATGGTCTAAGTGTGGCATAAGCCTATGAAAGCACTCAGGATCATGAGGTTGAAGAATCAAAAATTCAAAGCCAGCCCAGGCCATAGCATGAGACCTTATCTTAAAAAAAATAAATAAATAAAATTTTTCATGGTTTCCCAGAGGTTTCCATATTTTTTTATAATATGTATATATAGTCTGTATTTTATTAGAATTATATGAAATCATGCTTTTTTATTACCTATGTTTTCAGATGAGTAAATACAAATCTAATTATATTTCCTCTCCACATGATACCTAACGTATAGATGTACTAGAACCTAATCCCCAACTGAAGGAATACTTAAGGGAGTGATCTCTTCTAAATGCCACATCTTTTTAAAAAATTTATTCATTTATTTTTATTCTATGTGTGAGTGTATTGCCTGCATGTGTGTAAGTGCACCTGTGTCAGAGGACAGAAGAGAGCGTCGGATGCCCTGGAATTGGAGTTACGGATGATTGTTAGCTGCCATATGGGTGCTGGGAATTGAACCCAGATCCTCTGCAAGAGCAGCCAGTGCTCTTAACCTCTGAGTCATCTCTCTATCCCCAGAATACCACATCTTTATACCCTTGTCTATTTGTTTTTTTGGAATAATTTATTCAAAGTGGGTTGAGGATTTGAACATTTAAAATTTCCAGTCTTTTAAAAAGGAGTGTTTCCCCATATTAGCTGTAAATGACAGGCAACAGAATGAGGCTGACCAAATAGTATTATTATGGCTTTGCCCTGTGGAAGTGTGTGTGCAATAGAGTAGGGAATTTGGACAATGCTGGGGAAAAGAAGCCTGCTTTTACTGGATGAGTCCAAGTTTAGGTTTGCTTAAAAGCTGATTGGCTCTGAGCAACCTGTGTTCAACTGATGACAGTGATAAAGGACCAGTACAACCAGGCAGGCCAAAGCCTTGCTCCCTAACTTGCTCTGAATTTTCTTTTCAGTGTAGGGTGAGCCATGGAGCCCACGTAAGAGAGTAACTACCAAAACCTAGCTAGACTGATCTAAAGAGCTTTCTCCAAAATGAGTTACTCACCACATCTTCAGGGTCTGGAATTTTCACTCCACTGAAGTATTGATTCATGCTAAATACTTGCTGGTGCCTGGGAATGAGATCCCCTTTGGACAAAAGAGAGAGGTAAGTGCGATTGCTCAGGAAACACAGCTGTGGTTTCCCTCTGAGGAAGCAGTGTAGATCTAGCCTAGGCCTGCTCAAGCTGCAGTTTTCTTTTCCAGTCAGGAGACACAGGCAAGCAATCAAGCACAGGTGTTAAGCATCAGAATCTGGAGGTTGCAAGAATTTTGCCCTGGAGGGTTTGCAGTGCATTTGCGGAATCTCAACCAAATCAAGCCAATGGAAGATTTTCTATCTGAAGTGATAACGTTTCCAAATGGAACCATTTTCTTGTTTCACTGATCTATTGGAAATAGTATCTCATCAACTGTTTAGAACCACATAAAGTTTGAAGAGTTGAAACAAAAAGAACTTTTCTACATCCCCATTAAACAAGCTCATTCTGTAGCCATCACAGCCAAATGAGCTAAAAGTAAAAGCCTTCATGTAAAGCCTAGGATGAGTACCATAGAAAAGACCTTTGTTCAAAAAATAGGAGGTGCTCCCTGGGGTAAGCCAGGCACTTTTGAGGGCAGAGTTGGTAGCAAAAAAATCTGGGCGCCTGCACACCTGCACAGTCAAATCCAGAAACTTTCTCTATTTTGGACAGTTAGGCAAAAATATAGCCCCTCGTATAATTACTCATATGTATGAAAATGTTGTAATTAAACCTATTTGTGTGCTAGCTTTAAATTTTAATTATGTATACATAAAGCACACACATATACACACATACACCCTCTATGCCTCCTCACATCCCAGTAAGCTTCATCATGAACACAATTCCCTATGCCCCAACAGCCTCTTCCATAGGGGATTGTCTGAAGTCCTAGGAGCATGTCCTAAAGTCACTAGGGGAAACAGAGCCAAGGAGGGTTGAGCGACCCTAGCTATTAGGCTACAAGGTGACTACAATGTACAAGACGTTGGAGGATAAACAGAAACATGATGCACAATGTCACCTTCAGACAGCTTACAGTACCCTTGGGAAGGTAAAACTACATAGTGACTGCTGGTTCTGCAAGAGTTTATGAAGGAAGGAAATTCTGCTTTGAATTGGGCTGCTTAGAAGAGTAGTATCTGAACTCCCTGGCTTTTGAAAAGGACATCCCTCGCCTATGGATCTCTTCATTTGTCCCTTGCCTTCCCTCTTTTCCTCCTCTATCCTTATGATTCTCCCCAGTGACAGAGAAGAAGGAAAGGGCATTTGGGATGAGAAAGCAAGACCAGAAGAGTGACATTAGAAGCAGCAGCCTTAATTTCTGATGCTTAGAAGGTTGAGAATCTTCCTGTACTATAGAGCCTGAATAATCCAAACTAGTCAGGCAGGCTGGAGTCAAGGGCATCTAAATGAATTTCTACATCATAATCAGACTTGGCATCCCTAATTTAAAAAATGCCTGAAACTCAGCCCCAACATGATACCACAAATAGAAAATTCCACACTTGACCTCATATGATGGTTCACGGTCAAACACAGGCATGTTAAAACTATTGTATAAAACTACCTTCAGAATATGTGAATACATTTTACATGAAACATGAATTTTGAGTTTATACTTGGGTCTAAAAATTCCCTAAGATATCTCATGCAAATATCCAAAATTCTAAACATGTCGAGTCTCAAGCATTTTGGATGAGATATACTCAGCCTATAAATGAAATCAACCATGAAAGCAATCTGTGAACAGTTAACAGTTAAGTCCTTCAACAATGTCTCTGTATTGCCTTGATAATTTTTTTTAGAAGTTTACTGGATCCAAACTGGATCTTTATGTTCAAGAGATAAATCTATGTCTTCTGGACAATTAGTAAAGACTCAATAATTTTATTTAAACAGACCACAGGCACTTTTAATAGAGCCATTTCAGTGAGGTCTCAAAGTTCCCCTTTCCTAATGGCCTCAGATGAGCTAAGAACATGGCTGTGCCATGCACCAACATGGATAAAACTAGTCAGTTCCCCTAAAGCCCAAAAGTCGTGACAAGAATACCACTTACCCAAGGTTTTCCTAATCAAATAGAGCTGATCTACATCTGATTTTCCTGGCCACAGAGGCACTCCTGACAGCAGCTCAGCAAAAACACAGCCGATTGCCCAAACGTCGACTGGGGGGCCATACTGTGTGTCCCCCACCAGAAGCTCAGGGGAGCGGTACCACCTGGTGGCCACATAGTCTGTGTAGTAGTCACCTGGTCCGGCTGGTCAGTGATGAACATGGAAAACACAATGATGGAAGTCCAACTAAAACTGGGAAGGCAACACCTAAGAAGTCAAGGGTGAGGCTTTTCAAACTCACTGTTCTCAATGTTAGTTGCACATTAAAATCACTTGTCTATAGTATTTTTAAAATCAGTGATACTTGGACCATGCACCAGTCCAATTAATAAGAATTCTTAGGGCCTAAGGCTATCAGTATAGTTTTTAAAGTTACCCAGATGTTAATCTGCAGCCAAGGTTGAAAAACATCCTTGTGTAATAGTATTTCTAGAAAGTACTGTTTTGGGGGCGGGGGATAAAGAAGGTAGAAATGAAGAGATTACCATGTGTTTTTAAAATTTTTAATAACTACATGATTAGACGAAGCATTTCATTACAGCTTTAACATATTCAGTAACACACTCCAGAGCAAGAGTACATCTCTTTCACAAGTGGCTGTAAGTTTCTAGGTTCACAGTTGAATTAATACAGTTATACAATACTTAACTCAGTATAATCCCTGTAAAACATAAAATTGAATGAGGTTTTTTTTCACCTTTTTAAAAAAGATTAAAAAAAATTTTTTTATATCACACAGAACATCCCAAACCATCTTATTCAACTATACACCCACTTCCAAGATGGCACCCTCCCATAGCCTCCCTCCCGCCAGTAGAGCCCTTATACTCTGATATCCCTGCTACTGTCTGCTGTGTTGTCAGCACCCCCAACCATTCCCCACTATTTGTCCATCTGGTGTATCTAGCCAGCCTATCTAGAGGTCTTTGTTTTAGGAAGGTCAGCTGTTCCTCATCTAGCAGCAATCAGTTGTCAATATTCCTTTAGGTAAGATTGGGGTCTGCTGTTCATTTTCCCAGTTCTATGCTGGGTTACTATCTGGGAGTCCTTTTGGCCACCCTGGCCAACAACTCCAAAGAAGGTCTCTCCTATCTGACATTATTGCTTGTTATGTAGCATTTAGCTATACATGTGGTCTCTTAAAAAATTATATTGGCCCCTTTAATCTTTGGTTATACTTTCCTTTTGGGTGTTTAAGTCCATACAGTTGGCCCAGATAAACAAATTTATTTTTACTCTTAAGGTCGTTAGAAGATCTGTTCCTTAGGGGTCACATGGGCTTGGGAGGAGCCTCTGGATCCTTTCTTCTACCAGTTCCACCTATATGAAGATAAGTCAAAGGTACTACTCGACCATGGCTGGCTTCACTTGGAAGCATGGAGGAAATGATTACTCTGTGTTGACCATCCTCTTTGTAGACTGGACACTGGTTCAAGTCCATCTGGTGAGGTCTCCTAAGCCTCCTTGATCAAGAGGACAGATAATCCATCACCATTAGAGGACATTTAGAGAGAAGCTCATAGTCCCCTGGAAATAGTCGGCCTAGGAGGGCTATGAGCAAAAAGTGTCCTGTATGTCCCTCTGATCTGGAACTAGTTGACCTAGGAGGGCAAGGAGCAAAAACTGTCCTTTATGTCCCTCTAACCAAATTAGTGTAGGCCTCAAAGTATGTCTGTTAAAAATCCAGGAAGGTTAGTTCCACCAGTTTTGTACTTTTAATTACTGTGTGCCATGCAGATAAATCTTGGGCAAAGAGCAATTGTTCTCAGATAAACCTTACTTAGACATATATTTCTTGATCTGCTATGTATAATTTGTCAGTAGGTTGTAGGAGTAATATGGTTGCCTCTGGTTTTCCAAACTAGCTAGACATTATTTATCTCTTGCATTGTCTCACCCCTCCATCATGGTTTCCTCAATTAAGGTGCCCCCATTTCCCCCTCTCTCCCTTAATAATACCCTTCTCCTACTATCCTACGTCTCTTGAGCTCCTTCTTTCCCTTTATCCCCTAGGTTCCTTGTATACCCTTCCCTCCCTTAAACTAACCCAATTTTTATCCATATCTCCCTTATTAAGGCCTGTTTCCTACTGTTCTTCTCTTTCAGGGACTTTCTTTTCCTTTACCTTCCTGTTTCCTTTCCATTATCCTGGTGACTGTACTTATGTCTGGATATGTACTCACTTATAAGGATTTGGTGCTAGGTTCCAGAAATGAAGGAGAACATATGTCTTTTGTTTTTCTGAGTCTGTATTACTTCACTTAGTATAACAGTTTCTAGATGCACTTTTACCTATGAATTTCTTCTTTCTTTACTGCTCAGTAGAACTCCATTGTGTAAACGTACTACATTTTCT